TGCAAGAACTTGCCAAACTGAATGAAGGGAGAGCAATAAACTTCTCCATACATGTTAGTGAAAAGTGAAGTCAGAACACAACTGGATTCAGGTACTGGAGGTGCTTGTATCAAAATGGCAAGGGGTTTAGGGGTTCCAGAAGAGAAGAAGAAATATGGTGGAACAGAGCTTAAAAGCAAATGAGTTGTTCTGGATTTTGTTGCCTAGCACGTGCTCGTTCCTTTGCTTTCTGCTGATTAGGGATTTCATGAATTTGTTAGAGTTACGGGGAGGAAAAGCAAGATGATGGGTGCGTCTGCCTTCATAACAGCTTAAGCTTGGGATTTGACCAGAGTTGTCACCTACCTAGGCAACTTCAGATACGTAACTTCCAATAAACCCAGTACAGATCTTTCAGAATATAGGGAACTCTGGTTTTATCTAATATATAGTAATCACCTGTAATCGCATTTATGGGTGAAGAACGAAGTGAGAGCTGAAGAGAGTGGGATGGATTTAAAATAACTCATTAATGGAACATGTTGGAATAACCTCAGAATTGTTAGTCAAAGTGAGTAGAGATGACACAGAGTGTTCAGACATGGGCATTCTTGCAATGTTGTATATACCATCAGGTGAAAAAGACTGGAAGTTTAAAAGAACTAGAGGAGCTGATCACCTGTAATATTCACATGACAAGCTTTAAAACTATTGCCTGAAAAAGATTTACAGATTTCAGGGGAAAGTAGTTGACCATAAAAATATGGAATAAGCTTTTCAACTTAGTACAGAAGGGGAGCAAAGAAGTAATATGAAATACTAAAATAATAATAGGATTTAAAATTGGTTATGGTGAGGGAAAGTATGGAATTGATATTCATAATAGACATAGAAGCTCAGGATGGAAAGAAGACTATATGGTTGTTTGACATTTTATTTAAAATCTAGCCAAAGTTGACGTGGCTACTAAAGGTGATTATGGTGTTCAAGAATTTTACATCTGAAATTTTTTAGGGCTCTATCAGAGCAGACAGCCTTTAGTTACAGTTGAATTTGTCCATGTGATGTGCTCTAAGATCATTAGACACGAAATCTGAATTAAAGGTTTTAAATTATGGAGTGAAAAAATACGTTTTGAGAAGATAATATCTGTTGTTATACAAACTTAGGAAATTCTGCAACGATTGAACTGACCAAGCTGGTATATACTGAAGGTCTCGGTCAGGTATCAGCAAGACAAGAGGGAGGGAACCAGATAGAGGAGCAAGTTTCAGAAAAACTCGTAAGCGCATTTAAGCATCATAGGAGTGAAATTAACCATTTGACTACATGAATTCAAGTCCAAAACATACCAAAATACTAATTTTAAATATGATCATATAATCATGTCTTTGCAGTGAAGAACTTGCATACTGTGTATTTGCTGGCCTAATTATTTTACTATGATGTTCTTATTTCAGTAGTATCTGCAAAGTATGAAAACAATTACTTAAAAGACTGTACATCTTGAATGAACCAAAATGTCATATCATAAATAGATTCTACAGTAATTGGAAACAGGACTTAGTGTAAGAAACAGACACAAACTTGTGTTCCTTCATTCTTCATATGGAAATAAATTATTCTTTGAAAAAGTCCCGAGATGACGTGAAATGCCACGTGGGTGTGATCACCCTGTTATTTCATATAGATAGATAGGTACAGATATATACACACGCACACATATATATATATGAAACTCTCATATAAAGTATGGAAAAAACATTATCCTGTAGAATTGGAAAAGCTGGAGCAGAGGGCAACCAGAGCGAAACAGGGATTTGAGAATATCTGTCTATTCAAAAGGTGGGAGCAAGACAGGTCTGCAGTCTTTGGGAAGAGATTAAGAGGAGCCTTCTTTTAATGGCCAGGATTGATTCTGCGAGGCTGTTTGAGCTCGTGTCAAGTGCGACGCAAGGGGGCAAGAGCTTAAGCTGGAGGAGAGGCCGAGCACCACAGGAATGTGGGTGGAATCTGAATAGCGATAAAACAGAAAGTTTTAATGCGCTACATGCAAAATTCAGTTTGGATTATTAGCAAGCGTTACCTTGGCTAAGGGTACTTAGAGTTCATTCCTTAATGCAATTCATTTTCGCTGGCTACCTTCGAACTTGGGGAGAATAATGTTTAGTTTAGCGAGCTGCACTGCCAAACTTTTAGCACCCAAAATTAAAAGCTCAATTTAAAATGTGGAACTAGATCAGAAGCGCCCAGGGTGGCAGAAACTTGGCTGTGAAAAGGGGCTTTGATGTCCATAATGTCTATTGTTTAATGTCTGGTTTTTTGCTTTTAAATGCCAATGCACAGCATGGAGGCCTGGCCCTCCCATTATGCGACAGAGGGTGCTTTGGGTGGTAGGGGGAAAAAAAAAGGAGAAATCTTCCATCCTGCCGGCACAAAGTTGACAGGTGTGAAGGCTTCTGGAGATCTTTTTTAAGGGATTGTGCGCTAAAGTGTGCAAATCCAAAGTAAGCGTGCTGGGCGTGCGTGTGTGCAAGAGAAAGTTAGCAGTCAGTCAGGTTTTATCTCTTAATGAATAGAGACTGCTGAAGTAAGGGTTAGGTAATTGAGTTTATAATTAATTAGCCATAACCCTCATCAGATAAAGCAGTTGTCGAGATTTTTTTTTTATCTCCTTTCTCTCCCCAGGGCCTGCCCTTCTTTGTCCTTGCACTGACAGCCAGCACTTATCTTAGGCCTTCTCCAGGCCCGTGCCCATCAACCCCTCCTCCCTTGGGCTGATTTTTGGTGGTCAGCCGAGACCCTTATTGTCCTGTAAGGCTCACAATCAGCCTAGCTGTCGGGTGCTGGGATGATGAATTAGCGGTAGGAGTTAACGTGTAGGTGAACTCCAGATTGGACTCCCGATAGCTCGCCGAGCGGCTTCTGTGTGTTAGTCACTCTCCCCGGCACTGATACGCTGCTGACACTTTGCAACAAAGAGGTTAAGGAGGTAGATTTAGTAAAAGAAATGGTGCATTTCTCCAGGAAGTTAGGATGCTTACAAAGGACCCTTAATTCTTCTGCTGTGCAATTCGCTGCAACAATGCCAAGAAAATAAATTAGATTTTATACTGTTTCTTTTGGTGACCTTATCTCCCTTATATTGTGGGTTGAACTAGTTTGCTTTTGCGATAGGGATAGAAACTTTAGACACGTCTCTTAAAAGCATCAAGATTGTAAAAGGTATCTAGTCTCTCTGCCTGTTGAGCTAGATTAAGGGGATTCGGATGTCGAGCTTATTCTCTATCAAAGCACCATCGTTTTATGGATGCGTTGGAGAACAGGAGCTTTCTTGCTGTGTTTGCAGTAGGCTTCTAGCATCGAGCTGGGGTTTTTTTAGAGAGGTTTACATGCTAGAGGAGAAAAATGTTCAGAAACAAGTCTGTGGATTTTCTCTTCATCTGGAGGTTTTGAATTAGAGATAAAGTCTTCTGTCTTACAGTATTGACTTGAGGCTTCGGATGGACACCGTTTCTCCTTAACCTGAGTGGCAGCACTAGAAGATGTCACCAAGTCTCAATGCAAAAAAGGTTTGATTCTTTTTGAAAATATATCAAGCATTATTCTCCTGCGGTCTCCTTAATTTCCAAGGGGACTGGTAAAGATTTGCTGTTTCCTTGCCATTTCAGTGGCAACATGTGCTTTTAGCTTGACTTCAGTTCCTTTTGGTCTCAAGCAGCAGAAGTTTCCCTGGGTACATGTATGCCTTTCTTGGATCTTACTGAAAATTAAATCAGTTATGTATTAGTTAGCCTCCATTTAAGATGACAGTGTAAGTGCATAAAAGATATTACTGATGGCAGAACAAACCTGTTCCGTTTTGGAATAATAGCTTAGCAATTTTCCTGGTGGGTCTGACAACCCTGCCGCTCCTGTGCTGTGGTGTTTGTGACTTGTGAAACTCTCGAGTTTGGCAGAATGTGTGCTTTATCCAGGCACGGGAAAGCAAATTTTTGTTTATCTCACTGCTAACTGATGGATCTGATGGAAGAGTAGAGGAAACAATTCTGTGACATATGTTTTGGCATGAGTTGAGACAGAGGAAATTCCGAATAGATATACAGAAGCATTTTAATTTGGGGTTTTTTTCTGCCAAGAGGGCATTCAAGTATTAGAGTAGATATCTAAAGGGGCTGTAAAATCTCCATCCTTGGAGATGACTCCCCAAGAGTCAACTGGACAAGGCCTTAAACGTGATCCACATTAGCCTGTTTCTGAGCAGAGGGCTAGGCAGGATGACCTCCAGAGGTCTTTCCAACATGAGTTGTTCTGATTCTGTAAATCTAGGTGGTGTTCAGCTAATCTAGTGAGCAAAGTCATGTTTTCTACGTTGCTGACATTGACACTTCATGTTTGTATTTCAGTGAATTCAGCTTCTCCTAGGTCAGTTAAAGCAGGAAGAAAAGGTTGCTGGAGGATCACTGCTCAGAAGCGTGAAGATCAGTGGTGCCTAGTGTAAGGTCCTCTGTTCTCAGCACGGAGTCCTGCTGCATTGCAGGTTCAGCTCGTTTCTGATGGCAATACGGCTGCCGTTCTGAGGGGCTTTGTGGAGGCAACTGGCTGGCACTTCTCACTAATGCACAGGCAAGAGGAAAATGCCCGAGGAAGCCTGAACATGAAGCAGTCTGTGTACATGAGTCTGGACCTCCCACCCCAAATCCTGTGTATTCAGTTCTTAGACACTGCAGTACCTTGACCAATCTCTCCATCCCCATATAACTAATCCGATGATAAAAAAATTAAGATCTTTCTAGTGATCAACAGTCTTTCCTCCTCTCTCAGTGCAACTTGGGGAATTTCTTGTAGCGTGAGTGGATTTCCAAAAAAACTGTGAGTCAGAACAGTTGGTGTTACAAGTGACTCAAAGGGAGCAAGCGACCTTCTCGTCCCCCAAAGAGGCACTTAGTTGTGTTTTATATGTGAGAGAGGCCAAACGTGAGTACGGTAGAAGGAAAGAAAATAATCATCATCTCTGTAGTGTAAGGACTGCACCAAATTTTTTTCCAAGTTGAGAATTTGTACTTCGAATGAATATCAACCTTGTATTATGTCATCTCACGCAGAAGCATAACTAAGTGTGCGTTACTTCTAATTCTAGGAAACAGCTGCAGGAAGAAGCTTTTGCTTTAAATTTTAGTCTAAAATGTAAAGTATTAGGAAACACCATCCCTGAACAAATTTTTAAAGCAATGCTGACAGTATCTTATGGAAAACAGGTGTGAACTGATATTATGGAATAGGTCTGGACTGAACAAGTTGGTTGGGTTTATGTTAGAATGTCATACTTGTATAGTTTTTCTGCTTTGGGGTTTTTTGGATCAACAGTGTATTGTAAATACATGTTACATACAAAAAACCCATATCATATATATAGCACTAATAACAAACATCATATTAATGTAGTTGCAAGTGTTTTTCCTTTGATCAGGACACATTTTCTTGTCTGATACCATTTCAGTATAGGTTTTAGAGAAAACTATATAGTGGGTCAGCTCAGTTTTGGGCTTTTTTCAGTTGCTGCAGGTAAAGGAAAATGACAGGCTTTATTGCTAAAGGAATGTTTCGATGAGGTTTTAGCTGTCATCTTCAAATGTTCAGATCTTCACAAACAAGTGGAGTATGTTATAAAACGTATTAAAGAATGTCCATGTTTCAAATCAATACTGAGATTTACTAAATAGAAAAAAGCATGGAGGAAAGATGATTATAATTTTACAGTGCTTCAAAGGTTAGAAAACAGTAGTATTTTTTACATCATAGAGAGGATGTTTACAGATGTGTCCTGCAACTGAGAGGTACTTTACTCTTACCAACTCAGCCACACACCATGATCTTTGCTAAGATGACTGAAATTCTTGCTTCTGTGGACAACAGTGTAGCAACTGCCTTATTTTGAAGAAGTTGTGGGAAATACCAGTTAAATTTTTCATTCTTTCCATACAAAAAGTTGTCTCATCTTGGTGCTGTGGCCCTTCACTACTGCTCAAGTACCCACTTGCTACTAAACCAGAGCTGTAGTTAGATGTGGTCTGGTCCCACGTATGTCCACAATCCCAACGTCTGTTGCGCATCGATGTCTTGTGTCACAGCATCCCAGGAGTGTTGGGAGATATGCTTAAGCCTGGTGATTCAAAACTAAAACTACGTTGAAAACAGAAAACAAGGCCTAGAAACATAACATAATTTTATTTGCTATCTTTTCAAAGCTGGAGTTTTCCTGCAATTTTACTAGTTGCTGATAACAGTATCACCCTTGTGTTGTGTCTGTGAGTATGAAAGATAGGAGAGTGTCACTGAACCACTGGGCAAGAATCATGAATGCAAATAAGTGTCCTTTTGACATTATAAGCCAGCACTGATACTGGTAAGAGCTAATCCTGTGATATTACAGGCAGTTCAGTGTGTGAGTGAACCTGTCCTCCTAGCAGGGTCTGATTATTGCCTGTAGCAGTCAGATTTCTGCTTTTCCAGGGTGTTAATTGTTTGGTTTATATCTCTAGGATACAGCATGAGGTACATACTGTTTGGTTTTGCTTTTTAACTGCTCAAATTATGACACTGTTTTACAGGGTGTTCTCCTGAAAGGTGCTAGGGGACTGATGGAAGCGTTCAAAGAGGGAAAGCTATTTTAGTTGAGTTTAGTTTTGACGGTGTTTTTTGTTCTTTTTTTTCTAATAACAAACTTGATGTATCAAGAGGAAAGTTGGGATGCCTAGACTGAAGACTCGCCACTTTGCAGTTAGGAATTTGAGGGCCTTTGGGCATTCAGAGCTGCAAAGAAGTAGTTTAAGGGCAGTCATAATATAGCAGAACCTTCTGGTTTAGGCAGCTTGGATAAAGCTGCAGGGATAATTTAAATTGTGCCATATTTGGAAATCTGTTTTGTTTGTAGCAAACAAAGAGAACGAGCTTTTTTCCTGGAAGGTATCACTGAGAGAAAGCTGTGATTTTCTGGATGACGTTGGTGCTTTTTTCCCACTCTGGCGATTTCAGAGCAGAGATTGATGGGCCCCTCTTCCTTAACGAGTTTTCTAAATTGATTTGATCATTGCTTTTTGTCACTTTTGTAGAACTAACATGGAAATGACAAAAAAAGTCCAACTGACACACCCGAGCACGAGGTATTAAAGTTGGTAGTACCGAGCACCATCATCAGCCATAATTGACAAATAATACCCCTCATAAATACTGCCAGTCTTTTCAATTAGTTTTCATCTCAAATTCAGGATGCAAAATGATGGCCTGTCAACTAACAATGGATGACAAAAATTAATAAATTGTCTTCTAAATAGTATGGACACTTAAGAAAAATTGGGCAGCCAATTTAGCACAGCGTGAACCGGGGGGAACCTTTTGTACTGTTGCCGTGCCACTAATGTTGTCTGGGTCTTTATTAATGGTGCTTGGCTGCTGCTGACAGTTTTGTTGCTACTGGCAACTTTCTTCATTAAAATTAAAGCCAGCGTCAAATCCCATTAGCTGCACTCTGGGTACCTTGCATTTTTTTTTATTTTTTTTTTTTGTCTTTACAAACACGTTCTTTATCTGTAGAAAGTTGGAAAAGGTGGTTAAAAATAAGCCTTTTGTCTTATCAGTAGCTGATGACTTAACTAAATAATGGGTTATATTTTGTTGAGGGACGTTGTCTCCAACATGTTATAACATGCCTAGTCTACAGCCAAGTAACTGCACAGAGAAATCCATAAATGATCTTTATAAATTACCTTTTGTGAACATAGTGTTCTTCTGTATCGCCTGCAAGGTAGTTGAGTCTTG